TTTGTGAATTACTCGCCGCTTTTATTAATTCTAATACTGAGCCGTTCAACTTAGAATTATTAGGCTGTTTAAATGTTAGGTGAATTAATATTATTAAATTTTATCGACATAATAAAAATCAACATTTCGTACATTATATACCTTTTCCCGTTCTACATCAATGCCCCCAATAGCTTGAGCCTTATTAACAATTTGTTCCACATTTAGCGCTACTTTTTGTCGAAGATTTTGTTCGTTAACAGGTCTTTGGACCATGAAGTGCCAAGTAATTAGTTCATCTCGGATAAATATGCCCAGATATTGTCCCAAATCAAACTTATAAAATTTGTTATTGAAAATATTAGTATTTGATTTATTGATGATTTAAATTAAATTAAGAAAATCTTACTTCGGGTTCGGTTAGACAGCGGCCAATCGCTGTCAATGCTGTTCAGATATTAAATGTCATGACATAATTTAATACTTTCATTCCAAATCATATTCAATTACAAATAACAAATAAATTTAAATCGCACCTGAGCTAAAAACGCCTTCTATACCAATTGGTGTCATAAAATGCTGTAGACTACGTGTATATCTGAATGGCACCGCTTCATTATTATGCAACATTGGCATATTCTGCGTAAATGCTAATACGTTGTTTAAAAAATTAGACAATTAATCTTTTGAAACATGATCTTCGTCTAAGTGACATACCAGGAAGTAATTCAGTCATCCAGATGTTGCCAGTATTTCGCGAGATCATAAATTTATGCGGATGCCTTTGATTAATAGACATAATATAAGTCATAAAAGATACTGCCGCCATTTGGGTAGTGAATCGTTTTCTTATAGTCCAAAGATCTTCGTGTGATTTCATGGTCTTGGTCATAAACTGTTTTTAAATTATCGAATCAGTATGAGGTAAGCAAATAAAAAATTATTTAGGATAACTAACCTTTGTCAATATATTACTTGGAATAAATTTAGCCGCAATTTGTTCAGCAATTTCAACTCTCAAGTTTCCTATGTCCTTTGCCTATAGTTTATGATATTAAAAAATATAGAACTTAATATTTTCAGCCACGATAATAAATTATTATATATAATTCATATTCGATTTTATTTGAAAAATTCATGATTTTTAGGTCCACTAGAGATTATATCCCAGAAATGTATAATGATAATCTAATATTATCCTGGTAGAGATTGACACATTTGGCATAATATCTTAATATAATCTTACCGTTTGAATATGAGACATGTTGGCTCTCATCTTATTTGTATAATATATTATGGCTTCATCTTTAGAAATTCCGGTAACGTCGCAATGATCTTCGTAAACTTCTTGCAACGAACAATATGAGGGATCGTCCTGAACAATCCTAATCTGAGGTCCTAATGGAATAATCAAAGGAAGATGGAAGGAAAGATTACGCTTGCGACTTTCTTTACGACGTTCAAGTACACTAAACATTTAAAAATATTATTATCAAAGTAATGACGCGTTAAAAATCAAGTTAATTGTAAAATACTTACGTATTTAATATTCTAAAAAGTTGAATTATTCTCTCTTCACGACGACTTTGCCTTGCCGATGGAAGTTGAACGGCGAAAGGGTGAAGACTCCCATCGTGTCCACGTATGGTAAGCCTTCGATAACAGATTCCATGTGATCTAATAACTTCTACTTCCGACATAAATCGGTCAATACGAACAAATTCAGTATTATTGTGGAATTTATGCTAATCAAAAAGAACTGAGTAAGCACAATGCTAGACATTAATTAGTTAATAAACATACAAATTGTAATGAACCTTACCAATAAGTATTGCCCTGGAACCTCAACCTCCTCGAATTTTTGATGTTGGAATTCAACTAGATATGGACTAAAATGTTCCAAATGCTGTGTTCGAGGTTTACTGTCCAAAACAATTTCAAATCGATCTCTCCATTTACGGAGTGTTTCAACGTATTGCATCAAATCCGGCTTTTTTAGGATAAAGTCATTTACAAATGCTGTCTGATAAAGATAGATAAATAAATAAAATTATAAACAATTGAACACAATAATTTGTTGATAAAAATGTTAAACGTGTAAAAACCTTAATAGCTCCAGGTAATAAATTTTCTGCGAATCGGTTAATATTCACTTCAATCGCCGCGGTTAGCATACCATTATCAGTACAGTGTAATCGGTTTATAATTTGCTGCAATAATACATCAGTTTAAGCACAAATAGATAATTTTAGTAAGAAAAAAGAAAATAATCGATAATACCTGCACCCCATCATTTAATAACGCAACAATCAATCGGTAAATGTCTTCGTCGGATGATGGTTTCAAACGTTGCTGGATCTGGTCCACCATAGTTTCGATTGATAAAGCAAGTAATGGAAATGATGTTTTTAAAATTGACATGACATCCTCAGTATGTTCCCATGGTTGCTTTGATGCTTGTTGAGATTGTGGTGTATGTGCAAGATTTGGTAACACATGATGATTCGTATTCATTCCAAGACCAGGAGTAATTGGAGATCGTCCATCAGCGTTATTGGTTGGAGTTGAGGGAAGCGGATTTTGAGATACATTTGTAGGAGTAATGGGTGTATTATGTATTATTCCATTCGTTGGTGTAGTAGGTGCATGGCCACTTAATGGCGTACCTGGCACACTTGAAGACATTCCGTTATGAATTCCATTCATACTTTGCATGTTGTGTGGAGTATTAGGCAAGGATGACGGCATATGATTAATTGTTCCATTAATAACATTATTACCATTGCTTCCAATTTGCATTGCGGGACTCTGAGGAGGTTGTGATGGCATGGGACTCGATCGAGAAAAGTTTATCGCCTGAGGGCTCATTTGGCCAGAACTTGCTTGACTAGGACTAGATTGCTCTGGGCTCACTTGTATTGGCCTGTGGCTATTTCCATTTACAATTACATTTGTATTTACTCCTTCACTACCGGAAACGGATTGAGACATTTGTGGAGCTCCTGAAGTATTAATAATCGAAGATGACATTTGTCCTGCACGAGCCTGTTGAGCCTGTTGCTGCCTTTTAATCATCATGGATTCGTCTCGGGCTGTTCGTAATTGGAAGTGCAAGGCCTATTTAAAATAACTTAGTCTAATGAGACATGACAATTTTTTTTTTTTTTTTTTAGTAACAAACTTTACAATAGTGTTATTAATTACCTGGGGATATTGTTTAGCGATTTTCATAAGAATTGTACGAGCGTGCCTTGCCTCTTTATGCATTAAACATGCTATAAGTTGCGGTATGAAAGTTATCCAGTACCATACCGGAACTTCACTCTTACTATTATAAGTCTCAAATACTCGAGAAATATGTCCTTTATCATCATCAACAGACAAAAGCCATAAAATGCGAACTAGAAGTTTTCTAGACTTAGGATTGTTATAAAGGCCGGCTGCCTGTAAATAACAACTCAAAGCATTAGCAGCGAAGGTAGTTTCGTCGGGATTTGCTTTAAATTTATTATCATAATAATGTCCCCATGCAGCCCAGGCTTTAGGAAGGCGCATATCCACTTGCACAGCCCGTGAAAAGCTATCATTAGCCTCAGGGTCTCTACCCAATTTGGCCTGTATCATTCCACGTAAAGTATGGAATTCAGCCTTTTGTTGAGACCCAAAATAATTAAGATTAGTATTGTTTATAACATCTAGAGCATTAGCTACTTCGCTCGGGTTTTGATAATGACATTTAGTTTGCTCGGTTAACTTCAAAAATGCTTCTTGTATTTCAATGTTCGGTAAATTATAAATTAGTTGTAAAAAGTTGATGCACACTTCGGAAAGTTGATGCTTTCTCGCGACATGTGCGAATCTATTGATAGTCCACGCTGTTTCGTGATGTCCACGGAATGGATAATTGGTATTTGCCATGGTATTAGTTGTGTTCTGGGCTTGAAATTGTGAAAATGATTTATTTATTACATTAAAAACATGACGTCTCCAAGCAACAATATCGCTCCACACATTTATATCGTCCCACATATTTGGTAATCGTTCTCGCCAGCTTTGCAATACACTTTTTAATTCACTAGCTTTAGTATCAGCATTTTGGTGACTAATATCGGCTAAGGATGAAAACATTCTTGTAGCATCGTCAAATTCAACCAAGAGTTGGAATGAGTGAAGTAAAGGGATGTGGCTTTGTGAAACTACGTTTGGAAGTGTATGCCATTTTCGTAAAGCTGATTGATGGGCTTCTTCGGAAATTTTTTTAAAATCATCATAATTGTTTGATTGTTGAGATTTCATTAAATTCATGAATGCCTCAAACATTTTTCGTCTGGGATTTTGATGTGACTCCATAAATGCTTGAACATTTTGCTCGAAAAACTCTTTTTCAGTAGCTAAGTCTATTAAACGGAAAGCACTCTCAAACATTAAGTCTATATTATTCTCATTTTTGGCAAAGTCAATGAGAATGTCCCACTGTTGTAACTTTTGAGAGCATGTGACCCAATGATCTTCCCACAATAAATATTCTGACTCAGTACATGGAGAACCCATTGATCGTGATTTTGTTTGCGCGTTCTCATATGCAACCAACGCCTGTGTCCAGTTTCCACATTGTTCGTATGATATTGCAGTATGTGTATCTGGAAATTTACATCGTCGTTTCCACAGGCCATAGAACATATCATCCTCTGATAGGGTTGAATACAAATCAGCTAACGCATCTAAAGTGCTTTCTTTAAACTTATCGTCTTCTTTGATGCCTTCAAAAGTGGTCTGGAGAATTTCCATAGCCGTATGCCAGGTGCCATGAGACTTTCCAAGGAATTTTACTAAATGTGGTGGTAGTCTGATGGTAGGCAAACAGCGTGATATACCTTCCAATAACGCTTGTATGCAATTCGGTCTTAATTCTGATTGTGTTGCGTGATAATCTTTTGACAATAGCGCTATCAGATTATTAGACAAATCTTGTCGTTCCTTAGAAGGAATAGTGGCCCAGCAAAAGGGAAAAAGTCCTACCCACAATTTATATGCTAAATTATCATCTAAATAGTGTAACTGTTTCAAATGTGGTAATAGATCGCTGACACGTAATTTTTTCAAATAACGCAAAAATTCTCGATGTTTCACCAAAAATTCTTCAAGTTCATTACTAGGAGTAAATGATGATAAATTCGAACACTCTCCAAAGGTCGTGATAGATTTAGTTTGCAGGCTATATGTTGGTGGCTGAATCCTTTTCTTAAACGAAACAGAACCCAAAAGAACATCTAAAGCTTGATGAAGCCAAAAATAGTTTGCTAAAAACTCCCAGTTTTGTTCTGATATTATATATGAAAGACGTGTTGACAATAGCCGAGTCATACTACGGTCAAATATTTCCATAAAACGATTTCTGATTTTTGGATTATTATAACGGGTGCCAATTAAAAATGCTTTTTCTAACTTTACTGTCATGTCAGATCTAGTAAAAGAAGGATCACTATATATTGAGATGACAAGGTTCAAAAAATCTTCAATCAAAGTCTTATCATCTAAAGATTCAAAACATAACATTTTGACAAGTAAGTCTGACTTTTCCTCCAAAGTAGGAAAAGGTTCCAATTTACTGACAACCCATTCTTTAACCACTTCAAAAATTGTCCGAGAAAGTTCATAATTATTAGTTTTTTCTATTAGCTGGGAAAGTGCTGAAAGGAAAATTGGTCTTTGATCGGTCAACTCTGAAACTCGTGAATTTACAAGTTGCAACGCCATTATAAGAATGCTGATCGGAGAATCAGGTGGCTGTGGACCATTTGAATTACTGTTGCTGGTGGAAGCATTCTGCTGTAAATCTTTAATAAGTTTTTGTATAACTTGAATAATTCCTGTTAGAAAAGGATCAATGTTTTTTGGAGTATTGCAACCCACGGATTTTAATAACATCATTGCGGTATATAAATTATTCATATTTTGAAGAGCTTCTTGAATTGTAGTGTGGATAATTTTAATAAAATTTTCAACTTCAGTATCAGGTGAAGATGGCTGCTGCTCTGGATTTAAGGGAGTAATGGCTTCATCAAATGGTGGAGGCGCCAAGGATTTGTATATATGAACAAGTACTGGATGGAGACATTCTTGAATCTTTATTTGTGTGCTTCCGATACTATGCTCCAATAGTTGTTGAAGATGTACAATATTTGCAAGGCACCAATCTGCTGGTTTTCTCTCAAGTATTACATTTAAAACTTCCAGACTATTGCACACACTATTAAGTATACTTTGGTTGACTTCTGTATATTTGAGTGTTCTATCAAAGGTAGAAAGCTTTACGTTGACCTCGGGCCAAAAGTCAGGAAGTAAAAATTCTTTTATTAATTCTAAAGCACGACGAGCCAATCCAGTTTTACTAACAGATTCGGCGGATGTACACACAAATCGAGTAAGGTATCCAACAATACTTTCTCGTAGATTTATGTTCGGGGTATATTTTTGGTTTTGTTCTGCAATGACACTTCTATATTCGCCACCATGTTCAATCAACATTCGTTTACGTGGAGAATTGTCAGGTTCTGAGTCAATGCGACGCTTGTCCGGCGTCATAGCAGGAGTTGACACCGCACTTGATTGCTCCGGTATACGATTTTCAGAAATTCTACGTTTTTCCCATTTTAATATTAATTCAGATAGATCTATGGTTAGAAGTCGCGTCTCAGCAGTAGCACTTTGAAGTAATCCTAATCTTGTCAATGTATTTGCAATTTGTGACATGAAATGCTCTCTATGTTCATAAAACAAATCAGGATGACGCACTAACAATTGGTAAACATTGACTAATTGAGAAACACTGTGCCCATCCTCCAGTAAAACTTTTTTCGCGTATTGAATCCAAGTTGGAGTTGGAGCTTTTTTATTTTTGGAATCTTTCTTGGATTCATCAAATGATTCTTTAGAAGGAAGCGGATGCTGAGTTCTTAAGTTTGGAATCACAGGTACAAGAATATCTAAAGCTTGCTTAACTAATGTTCTTGCTTCTAGTTGATGCGCTCTTAAAAGTGCAAAATAAGATTGAAATAAAATTTTTGAATTAACAGAATTAAATTCAGCAAATATTTGGGCCAAAAAGACAAATGCAGTTTGTTTAGCAGTTATATCATCAGCCCTGGACCAATTCCAACCCATTTTTGCAAGGTCACTTCGTACACTAATAAGATGTGGTACACGTTGCACAAGAAGCGTTGAAAATTGCAGAACCTCAATACGTAAAGAATCTTCAATTTCATCATGAGTCTCGGCTAGATAACGCCAAATATTTTGGATTCTATCCATTTGAACAGTTCCAATAATCTGCTCATGCTCTTGTCCTTTGTTAAATGCAAACAAAAGCATTGGAGTAATAATAACTTTCAAAGATTGCATTTTAATATTAGCAGGAATCAAAGGATCCATGAAACTATCCAAAAACTTGTCAAGAATAGCTCTTTTTTGTGTTACACTATATTTCATTGCTACTTCTTCTTGATAAAATTTTTTTAAGAATGTATAGTCAATTACACTTTCATAAGAAAATATAGTAACTAATTCGAACAACAAATCAATATCATCTGGATTTTCTTTCAGATAATAGATAAAGATCTCAACAAGATATTTGGATTCACGACATTGAGACAAGCTTAAAGTATCCTCTCGTTTCAATCTTTCCAGACGCCCTGGATCATTCCATGCTTCTTTGATGCATTGAAGAATAGGTTCGGAAGTAGGTTCAACCAACCAGCTAGGATGAAACTTTACAATCTCTAGAATAATAACAATTCTCTGAAATTTCACCTCATCTGCATTATCCAAGTCCTGAATATTGGAAGTTTTATCGATTAACTGTGATGGATTTTTCATAATATCTTCTCTGAGTTGAGTAGCTTCGTCATTCCCCAAAAGATTTATAAATAATCGAGTAAATTTATCATTGCCAACTTTTTCGTAAAAATATTCAATAGCATTAGATGAATAACGATTCAAAAATTTGATAAGAGGTAAACGAAAAGGGCTGGACATGGATCGACGTAGCTGTTCTTCCAGATCTAATACAATGGTAACTAGGTCGTCCAGAAAGACATAGGCGGCTGGAGGTAAAAGATGGAATACATTCAAAATTGCAACTATAATTTTAATAGATTCTATTTCGATAAGTGGCTTGCCAGCAGCTTCTTGTAGAACTGATGGTTCAGCCCATTGGCGAAGATGGTCGAGTAATTTTCTCCCAATTTCAACCTTAAAATAATTGGTAAGCAATTCAAGAAGTCTAGCTAGACCTTCAAGTCCTGCTACAGTTAGCTTTTTATGATCTGACAGATTAACTAAGATAGGTCTCAAACCAGCCTGTAAAAGATCTTTAGGAAGTTTGTGCTGTTGTTGAAGAACTTGTTGAAGCCCTTTATTCGCGACATCTACTACCTCTGGGGCTTTTGAATATAATGATTTGAAAAAAACACCAATTATACGGGTCCGAGTAGCAACTGCAGTAGTTTGTGGAAAGGAATCTGAACGCATCATAGATGCAGACAATAATTTAATACAGACTATTCTAAGATTAATCCCAGCTGTAGAAGCTTTATACTGTGCTGAACGACCAGTCAAAACTTGATCCTCGGCATCTACAAGTGCTAAAGCTTCATTCAAAAGTCTAACAAGTTCTTCATAATTGCTAAAGTCTAATAATGGAGGTTGTAATTGCAAACAATACGTAATTGCATCAATGTGCCCGATTTGCATTGGGGCGGGGTGGGCTCGAAGTGGTTTACCAAAAATGGGACTAAGCAATGTGTCTCGTGCGCCAGAAAGCAAGTCAGTAACATTACATTTTTTCAATTCAGCTATTATTTTAAATGATGCTTGTACTGTTTCTCTTACAGCAGAATTTGCATTAGACAACTCTGAAGTTAGTAGATTAATGAGTTTGTCAAACTTTGTCTGCCTCTCGTCCTTTGAATCTGTCATTTCAATATCTTCACTATGACTTTCTGATTGTTCTTGTTGATTGCAAACGGTTAAAACGTGTAAGAGTGTCTGAGAGGCATTCTCAACATAACCAGCCGCAAACTCTGGAGACATATCTTTTAAAATAAAAAGTAAAGATCTAACAAATTCTAATTCATGTTCTAACATCCACTGAGTACCCATATCAAGTTTAGAACTGAGAATCGAAATGCCCGCGCAGCCTCCATCCTTGCGAAACCATTCTTGTTTATAGCAACAGGAACAAAAACGAGATGCTAATACATGAAATAATGGAAAGCGAATAAGCGCGTCCTTAGAACCAGTAATAATGACACATGTTTCATATATTAAAGTTAAAGCAGTTTCAGCAAGTTTACTAAGATTAGTGTTCTCTGACGTTATGACCTCTACCAAAGCTTCCACCATTACTTTGGTCTCCAAATTATATTGCTTTTCGTCGTCATTAAAGTCAAACCTTTTTTCTCTTGTATAACGATAATTTAAAGCTTCACTAACTTCTAATAATGCAAAATGTCGGCAAATATTTTCAAGAAATGGCCATGCTTGATCTTTGAGATCTGGTAATGATGATGCTACAAAAAGAGAATATATCACACTTTGCAGCGTTTCCTCCTGTACAACCTTTCTTTTTAATATTTGTTTGTGCCCTTCTTTGCTCGCCATATTGTTTATTGAAAGTTCACGAAATTCATCTGTTACAATTGGAATATCACCTTGCGTATTTTCCGTGCTTGATTGGATTATTTCCATGTCCTCTCCATCATTATTTTGCAGCAATTGTTGTTGAACTCTTGCTGTTATTAAGATAGCCAGATTTTCTGGTCCTTCATCCAAATTAATAAACAAGGGAATAGTAGCTATCAAAAATTTATACGCATTTTTTTTATAAAAAAGAGTAATATTAGGATCTTGTAGAACCCTTGCAGCAAGTGCTAAACCTTCGTCCAATGATAAATTATGTGGATTTACATGCGGCTCAAAATAAATTTGCAAATCAATCCCGTTCAATGGTGGTGCATAATAATTAAGTTGTGCAGGATCTTTAAGCATACGTCGATTTCGTCCTCCTAATTTACCTAAAATCCTCATAGCCACATGACTATGAGTATTATTATACGGTGTTGGTTTTAGATGTTTCCAGAGTGCATTCATAAGATCATTAATGACCGGAGCCATTATAGGATCCAAAAATTCAGGTGTTAGATTGTCAATGCAAAGTTCTAAGGTCCGAAGGCCTTGTGTAACTAATTCTGGGCCTGCCTGTAAAGCCAAGACAAGAGGCTTCATTAAGTAACTAAGGAAAGGAAGAAGTACACTAAGTCTCACAGGCACAGTAAGACAGAGCTCAACAAATAAATCTCGCATGCGTTGTTTATGTATTAGTGATAATAGTGAGTTGAGCCCTTCCAGAAGCACTTGCAACAATGGAAAGACTTCTTTATACAATGTTTCAAATCTACCACCACCGATGCTTCTAAAAAGTGCTCTAAGAAGCAAGAAATAATTAATCGGTTCCTTAGCCTTTGCAGAAAGTTTCATTGAAGACGTTATTATATTTGCAAGATGTGGATGAAGCACACTTTCATTATGATTTGGAAATAATGTCACAGCCATGAATGCTAGTTTAAATAACCGAAGCATTACTTGTGAATATAAAGGATCAGGACCCCCAAGCTTGTCTAACCTATCTACAAGGAATCTCAATAGAATTCCTGCAAAGCTTTGAGAAATTACGTCGTTATGTGCTAAAAAATATTGAGGTATTTGAAGAAGAGAGGTGTTTTGCAACATTTGATCGAAAAAAAAATTCATTTGTGAAGCAAAAATTTCCTGAAATATAGCAGGATCTACCATTACAAAAGCAGAACTGAAATGTTCAAGTGCTTCCTTTTCCACTTTCGAATATGGACCAATCCTACTGGGGATCTCCATCGGCGTTAACTTGTCAGAATATTTGACCTGATTCGTATCCACATTATCGATGTTGAAATAGTCAAAGCAACGTACACCCTCTCGAAACAAACGAATAAAAATATCTACTTGTTCTTGAGTAAATCCACGAGCAACTGAATTAGGTTGTTGAATAGGGGCTTTAGAATTGCTTGGAAGTGGTGGATTGCACTCTTTTAACCATTGAATGATTGGTTTAAGACCAGTAACTAGATTTCTAAACAGAAATCTTCCATCTAGATGAAAAGAGAAATTATATATATAAAAAAACTTATTTTATAAATTTAAATCAACATATATATACCATTTATAGCATCATGTTGAAGATCACTAGGTGTAGACGTATTAATAGGACGCGCTTGTTCAAAATCAAAGTCATCAATTTTTTCTGTTATACTTGAATCACTAGCAGCAGCTTTCTTTTTTCGTTGTTGCCGCTGAATATCAGCAAATACCAAATTCAGGGTTACAAATTTGTTGGCAAAAGTATCCAAAATTTTGATTAGCAAATCTCTGGCTGTAAATTTTAATATAAAAAATAAGCACAATATTGCAGTAGTTACAAATATATTATAAATTTAATTAATAAACCTTCTTCTTTGCCATCGTTTTTAGGAATCTTCACAATACATTCAGTCAAGTTTAGCAAAAGTTTAGAGCACATAGTTTGAATACTAGCAGCCAAAGTTGGATCGTGCAAATTACGCGAATAAATATATACAGTTCTTGAAAGTTGAACCGGAGAAAGTTCATTCCGTACATGGTGGACTAGATCTGCCAACATACTATACGCTAAAGGCCTATTCAACAATACACATTAAAATTTAATGTTGTATTCATGAATCAATAGAAATGTGCGAAAATGAAAAAATTTTTTTAGTTACCGAAGAGTATCATGAGATGTAACCCCACTACCAATTAAAACTTTCTCATTAAGAAGAATATCAATTTTGCTTACAAAAGCGGAGCGAAAATCGGTTGAGAGAATGTGTCGAGTCGCGACCAGTAATTCCTGTCATACCAAATTAGTCATAGGTCAGTGGTATAAGCACGTGATAAATGTGTCATATGATAACATGTGATTTAATGAGGTTTTACCTTTCTGGTTGCCGAGGCCTCAGGTGGACAATCTTGAAGTAATCGTATGACAAAATCAGGTATCATACTTTGGTATTCTTGTAGTGCATGAGTGTATGCACGAAGAACGTACGCCAAAAAAGACATTGTCTATGTGAATTAAGCAACATAAAAAAAAAAAAAAAAACTATGAAGCAAATGATAAAATGAAAATAAAGATAAAATAATTTAAACGTACTTTAACTTGAGCTATAATGAATTCTGTATATTTCGCGCGATCTCTAATTCCTGGTGCAACACCAACAAATATTTCACCTCTAGCTCTAGCCGCTTCTTGTGCTTCAGCTTGGGGACGAGCCTGTAACCCCAATGTCTATTTAAATTAATATAATATGGATATATCATTATCATAACTATGTTAACAATACTATGCTAGTGTTTATAAATCCCTATAAGAGGTTACTATTTTCATAACATACTTTAATAATGAGTGGGACGAAATTTCCGATATTGTCATTAACAAAGTGTCTATGGGATTGAAAAAGTAAAACTACAATTATAGGGCATTCGGTCAAGACTTTAAAGCTGTGTAAACTTCCAGCTAAAACTTTATTTGGGGTAGTTTCATTTGTTGTAACGTCTGAAACAGGCGACGATGGACGTGAAGAAGGTGGCACAAGTACTATCGGTTGAACTGGCTGAATGACACGTAAAAACGCGAAGAAAATAATTTAGTAAGACCAATAGTTATATGATCTGAATGTTCTCAGTCTAAAACGCGAACATGCTTATTTTTTTTTTTACCGTACTTACAGTGCCAACGTTTGGCGTGGCAGCAATTCCTGGTGAATCAAAGGAATCTTTTACTGTTTGTTCCATATTCTTGTACATTTCTTGGACAATGTCTAAGAAAGGCTTGACCAAATCTACTAACTGATGTTTATAACTCCGGTGCAAGTCTATAATAATTTTTAAGCAGATAACCGCATTATCCTCATTTTCTTTCTTCAACAGTTCCATTAGTGTTTTTAGAAGATTAGAGGCATATGGTAGAAGCGAATCGTTTTGAGGCAATCGATGTAGTATTTCTAAATATAGATTTCGCAATTTCTGCATTAGAAAAAAAAAAGCGGGAGAGAAAAAACGTGAATAATAAAGGAATTGGTTTACATTTAAAGAGTACATACAATATTTGTATACCTGTTCTTCGGAATTGCTATCAAAAACGGGTTGTTCCTCCGTTAGCATTTTCGTTAACACGGGCATTAAAGCTTGGAGAAAACGATTATAATCTGCATTTTGATAGACTTCGACAGAATCTCTGAGATTAATAGCGATTGATAATTTTGTTTTAAACGCTATATATATTTATCAGAAGTGAACATTATATTAGCAAGATCAGTAAACACACCAATAGAAGCAAGTAATATTAGTGCTTAGGAGAAGCTAAGGTTACATACTTATACTAGGATCAAGTAATCTCGATGCATATAATTCGGGGGAGAGCTCGGAACCCGCCATATTAATTTAACAAAAAGATAGTAGTAATAATGTATTCAATTTAGGTCCAAGGGAAATAAATCGTCGAAGAATGAATGCAAAACAAGATTTCGGAAAGTGACCTTATATATGTGGTAAAATTTCCTACATAGTTGAAATTTTTGGGGGATGCTAGTCAGAAATTCAATACTACGTCATCAAATTTCCAAATTAAGGCCATCTTCCTGTGATATATTGTAATCGATGGCGCAAATTTTACGTTACTGCTCCACCAATTATTCAAATAAGCGTAGGCTATCAAAAACGTAGTGTTCAGCAAGTAATACTAATAACGTGATATTGTAGATGATGTTGGCAACGTACGTAAGTACGTACTCAAACCTAATTTTTAATATATCGCTCACTCTGAGGCTCCAGGATCATGTCCGCAACTCAACCTTCAACTGCCGATCCACGACGTCCTAATAGTGTTGTTAATTATCATATGCCAAGGAAAGAAGCAGATGAAATCGATCCTGATTTTTACGGAGTTGCATCACTTCTGTTGAGTATGTGTTTTCTACTGGTTTCATTTATGATAAAGTGCAAGTATAATCTTGTCCAGCAGTAAAAATTCAAACTTATTTTCACAGGTACCGTTGGTCTTCTTATGAAGGTAACCCTGGCATGTTTAGGTTTATTTATATTAACAATATTAATAATATTATAACTCTGTATTTAAAGATAAAATGGGCCTCATGGGTCGCTTTAGCATTTTCTATAATTTCTATAACAAATGAAAAAATTTCTGACCAAGATCCTAACGCTGGGCGTACACCATCTTATACTGGCATTTTGTAAGTTTATAAAAGTTTTCATTAAGGTCATACAAAATTAATTTCTTGGTTTTCATGACATTTAAAATTCTAAAACAAACTTGGTCGCTTGACTTTTTTTTTTTATGTAAAAACTTTTTTTAATATATCCACCGTTATTAAAGCATATGGAAATATTTTCAAAATTAAACATGGTTGGGTTATGAAAACCAAAGAATTAATTTTATATGGTCTAATATTAGTATTAATCATTATTATTGATATTATTCTAAATTTTAGATTTTCCACATCTGGACTGCTCGTTAATTATATGTATCTGTTTGTTGGAATTCCTAATCCCACTACTAACAAAGTTTAAAGCTTGATAACGATAATACTTTAATAGAGGGTTTATTATTCTAAGTATGTTTATAAAGAATGTGTGGCTGTAAAACAGGTGACCGTAGGAGTGTTGACTGCATTTTGAACAAATAGTCTCCAGAAGTAGTAATTTTTATTTAATACATTTATGTTGTAATTTGTATTGGTGTACTGGATAGCGTCAGGAAGCGTCGATTAGTTAATTTTGATTAGTTTATTTCGCGTAATTATGCAAGAGTCGGAATATCTTACACAGTGTTCAGGGTTGGCACGGACCGCAACGGTCAATCCTGACCTGACCAATTTGACCAGGTATTTAGTACTGGTCAAATTGTGCATTACATATATACATAACTATATATATAATTAAAAAATAATAAATTTAGAATTTGTTACATTTAGCAGGTTAATATTTAAAAATAAAATATTATTAATCAAAACATTAGTGTTAGAGTTAGGGTTAGCATAGAGTTAGCATTAAAGTTATAGTTAGCAAGTATATAAATAAGGTATATGCAAAGTTACATGCTCAAAATGGATGCTCTATAGAATAGGTGGGCAAACTCCGCAACTCCGCTATTAAAAATTAATGATTACTAATTATTAGCGAAGCTTATTTCTTATATTGCCCATCTATTCTATTGAATATCCATTAGTTCTTATTTCTGTAAGTACAGAATTATATCAACTTATATCAATGCTTAGGTCAGGTTGATATTCTGTTTTTCATATCTGGTTAAAGATTGTTTCATTAAAAGAGTAATGTGCTGTCTAATTATCAAAGTAGTTGCTAATATATTGTTTAATCACTTTAGAGTCAGTAATAATATCTGTTGCAGTTTCAATATTGTTAATATATATTGGATCTTTATGTTGATTTAATATGCTATTAATCATTTTAGTAGGTTGTGTTAAAAGTTGGTCACATTGTTTGTTGGTAGCAGATTTGATATGAATATGTAAATGCTGTGCATTTCAAGGTTTCTTGTATTGTAAAGAGTTTTCCAATATATTTTAGTATTTGTAACCCATGTTGTAAGATTATGTAATTCTCTTGGAGGTGATTTGATAGAGAATTTATATTTGTTATTAATTGTATTAATTAAGTGTTGAATTTTATTTGATAAAGGGATTTGGTTAGAGAAGTATTTTTTAACACAGTATATTATATAACTAATAGTTTTGAGGTCTTGATATACAGTAATTGTGTAGTTTTTGATATGAAAGTATATAAGAAGTTTTTGATTATATATTTTTTGTTAGAGATATGTTAATATATAGCATTGATAATACAAGTATAAATCTTATGTCATATTGTTTCTAAACTTTTAGATATATTTATTGTTATTAAAACTTTGTGTTAGGTCATATTGATATTTACTTATTCTGTAAAAATTTTCTAATTTTCTTTAGACATTGTTTTGTAATTAAAGACTCTATGTTTGTTTTTGTTTTTGTGCTTAATTTTAGATATAGCAAATAAGAAAAACCAGATGAAGAAGAGAATATAATGATTATTATTTGTGGAAGTGAAAGTTGTCTAGTTGGAAGTTATATAAATATGGTATAAACTCTTCACAGACTTATATATAATCAATTTTAGTGTAGTATTTAGTGTTATATCAGATATTTTGTAGATTGTTTATATGATTAGCTAAATCATATATATTTATGTTAGCAGATAATTAAATAGTTAAAATTTGATAGCTGATGATACTATAGTATCATTGTTTGCATTAAAATTTCTAAGTATAATAGGATAGAGATTGACTAGTCTGACCTGTTGCATCTATGTTATAACTTTGTTTTGTGTATATTTGTAAGCAGTTGTATTTGTAGAGGAGAGATATACCAAAATGATTCTAAGTTTATAGTCATGTTTAAAGTAAAAATCTATTACAATAGCTCCTCCAGGATGAGTTATAATATTGTGTATGTGTGGTTGAATATTGTTATAAACTATAATACATGTGCTCTCTTTGGATTCTAGTAGATTAAACTAGAAGTAGATATAATGTTAAGTATTCTAAAACTTGGTAGTGCTGTATTAGAAATTTTAGTTTCAGTTAGAATAGCCTTGTTATTATACATTTTGATTTTGGAAATATGTCTCATTTTTATTTTTGTTATAACTTTGTATTAGGAATAACTCCTATTTTTGATATTTTATATTATTTTTGTTAGGAATAAGTCTCTTTTTTGTAATATTTTTCTGAAAACTATTGTTTTTTCTTGAGTTATATATTTGTTTTATTTGTTTTATTCTTTTAAGTATTATCTAAGTTATAAATCTGTTTTTTGTTTATAAACTTTATTAGTTATAATCTTTCTTTGTGAATATTGCTATAGCAATAAGTCGACAATATTTTATCTCATTTATAAACTATTTTCTTCTATAAATTATATATAAACATTCTAATTACTTATACACTTAGTTAAATAAGGTAACTTGTTAACCAAAGATTTAATTTGTTATATTACAATATGTAGACATTATTAATGTTTGTAAAGTATCCTTCTTGCTTTTTAATTTTATTCTAAATTTGTTTCTATATCTTTTGTTACAATTTTATATAATGATTTGTATTGCCTAATAATATATAATCTGATTTCATAAGGAATATTAAATAACCAATCTAATTCTAAATAGATTTTATATAATTATTCTTTAAATAATTGTCTTTAATATACTGATAATTTTGCAAGCCCTTTTGGTATAGCTTGCATGGCTAACCTGGTATTAGCCTTCTGATCTCGAAAGAATTTTCGGACCAGTGCGGCAGACCGCTTCTGGGCACCCATGAGAAACAGGAGCGACCGTCATCGTTACACAAATTGCAGATCACTTCCGAGATCCTCCCACCCAATCAAAATTACGAA